AAAAAAAGCACAAGCAACACAGAATACATTGCATACATATAATTTAGTGTTTTTATTAATATTTAGATTATTTTTTTTTTATATATATTTTCCTTTTATTTCAAGTGTTTTATTTTAGTGTATTTTTGTATTTTTTTTATATTTAGATATTTAAATGTTTATAGTTATTATATTTATTATTATCATATTTTATTTACATTTAAATATGTATGTATTTTTTTTTCTTTTTTGTTTTAGTTATTTTAGTACTTCAAGTTAAAATAAACAAAAATGTGAAATATTGCCTTCGCAACTAGTTGAAAAAAATTATTAAAATACGTTTAATTCAGTTTAATATTTTTATTGTATTATATTATTTTTCTATAATAGAATATGTATGTAGTTTTATTTTTCATTTATTTAATTTTTTATGATTACTGTTATTTTATTTTAGTTTTAATTATTTTAGTACGTCAAGTTAAACTAAAAAATTGTAAACATTGACTTGGCAATTAGTTGAAATAAAATTATTTTAAGTAATGGATTTTTTAACCCTATAATAACCTATTATGATAATAACCCTGCACTATATGGACAAAAAAACGCAGAGATATTTTCAGGGCTTAAAGTTCTCTGGCACCTTGCCGGATGTCCGGCGTGCAGCGTTTGGCTGTGGAAAAAAACAATCCTACATTTAAAAAAACTTGTTGATATCACTTTCGAGTCCATGAGTTCGCCTACCAATGGTATGAGAGGAGCACAGCTTTCACTCTCAACCAAACTAACATTGCTAGCCAATCAGAATTTTTTGCTCTATAAACACGAGACGTGCATAATAGTATCCAACTGCAGAGTCGCAGCCCTGATGAATGGAGAAGCGCAACAAAAAGCTGCGAGGGCGAGGCGCAATGCTCAAAGATGTCCATCTAGCGCATATTTACATACATAAATAATCATTAGTTACAGCCCTAGATTAGTTAAAATATTTCAAAATACAACTGCATTGTTTTACTTTTTGTAATTAAAAGACAAATATTTTGTCATTGAAAATTTCTTAAAAATAGTATTAAAATATTGTCTTGTTCTCATGAACCAAGTATCTGTATTTTGTCTCATCTCGTGAGCTAAGTGTATTGTCACACCCCTAGTGTCGGTAAGCAGTGATATAGCTCATAATTTCCCAAGTGTATGACATAGCTTTCATTCTTCAGGTCAACCATATATTCATGAAGAAAAAAAAACAGTTTGAATAAGGGAAGCAATAACTTTGCCATAGTATCCTTTCAAATGTTAAAGTTGCCACAGTCATTGCATGCTTTGCATGTGCTGCCCCATCCCCTCCATCCGCCCCGCCCCACCCCCGGAAAAAAGTTCAGGCTCAGGATTTTTTTTTTTTGCTTTAACCCCTGCATCTTGTGTTCCGCAGAATAAAGCCATACAGGTTCAGAACAACATGAGGGTGATTAAATAATGAGGGAATTTAAATGGTAGATTTTGTTTGTTGTTTGTTTGTAGATTGTATCGCCAAATATTAAAATTGAATGGATTTAAACATCATTTAATCACGCTGTAAAGTGAAACGTTATGTATTTTAACAGTGTTGTTCAATAAAACCATGTAATTACTTGGTTTTGATATTTTATTTCCATAGACTCATGTCCTACATTTAGGTTGTTCTGCTCTGTTATGTCTTAGAGTCATCGACTCATCCCAGTCGATACATCTCGTGGTGCATCGATTTCTAAGTGATGCCATGTTGTTCGGTCGGCCTGCCTGATCAGTGAGTCTGATTGCTGTTGTAGGGCAGAGCGTGCTGAGGTGGAGCAGGTTTGATCTGCTGATGGCTCTGGCACCTGCAGTGATGCTACAGTGCCACTGAGGCCAATTAACACATGAAAGGTGCTTCCCACCATCCGACTGGCACCACCAGAGAAGGAAGCGAAGGAGGCAATAGTGGAGGTGCACAGGAAAAGAAGCTAGCACTGTTTGCTCATGCGATGACAAGGTGAGAGGTGAAAGAAAAGCAAGAGAGAGCTGATGAAACAATTTAGTGCTTCCTCTTGCCTCTTTCCCGCTGCGGGGAGAGGAAACGCTGTGAGAAAACAAGCCAAAACCTCCTTCAGGAAGAGCGATGTCACACTGTCGAACATTATTAACATCAACAGTATTAACATTTACATGTTCTGCAAGTTGTCATCTGCAGGGCCTTCTGAAGTTTTGTATTTTAGTTTAATCCAGGCTTTAATATGTTGTGTAAATACAGTGAGTCCAAGACAAGAAAGTGAAAAATTTGAAAAGATAGAATAATATATTTCATATTAAAAAATATAAATACATTTAATAGAAATAAATATTTAAATGTTTTTTTTTAAACACAGTTATTTTTACAGTAATATAAATATATAAATATAAAATATATAGTTTTATTATATTATTTTAATATTTATGTAGTTTTCTTTTTAAAGTTTGTTTAGTTTCAGTTAGTTTGTTGTTTTAGTATGTCAAGTTAAACCAAACTAAAATTAGTAATATTGCCTTATCTGAAATAAAATATTTTAATTTTATTTTATTATTTTATTTCAATTTCGTATAATATTTAAAGTTTATATATTTTATTATAATGGAATATTGATGTAGTTTTTATATTTTTTTTTTATTATTGTTATTGTTATTATTAATATTATTATTATTTTCATATTCCCACTGCACAATATATTGCGCTAGTTTTTGAGCGAGAGAAAAAAGCTTTTGGTTTCAAGTGTAGATTTGTAACAGCTTTGTTTACAAGTTTAATTAATAACTGCATATATGCTTAAAGGTGATGTGTGTGATATTAAAATGCTTTGTTTTAGTCTAATATATATAGAGGGGAAAATGACAAATACTGTAAGCGAGTCGAAGATAAAAAAAAAAAAAGGAAAAATCATAAAAAATTTATAATATATTTCACAATTACCAAAAAATCAAAAAATAATTAATTAATTAACTTACTTGTATTATCACTAATAAAAATCATTTTACAACCTGACATTTGGACCTTGACACAGTCCCAAGTCTCTGCAGGGGCCTTCTCTATGACGTAATTTCCTGTTTATTTATTTGCCCTTTTTTTTTTTTTTTTTTTCCCCTGCATATTTCTACTTATTTGATATGGCTGTCAAATCTATCAATCTATAGAAATAAAAAAAAATGTTTATAGATTTGGCGTATTCAAGTCATTGTATGTATTCATTTAATTTTTATGGTATGTTTGTGTGTCATGTCATGAGACAGATGTGGTAAATTCTAACAGACTTACCAATGCTTTGGCTCCATGAATATTACAATTATACTGTAATAATTTGGCTAAACATATTCAAAATGTCTTCTATCTGTTCTCCTGCAGCCCTTGCTGGGAGTGAATGAGATGCCGTGTCGAGGCTAGAGGCAGCGGTGGACTGTTCCCGAGTCAGTGGAAAGCCCCTCTAGATGAGCCAGTCACAGCCACCCAGCTGCACGGTAAAGGAATAAGGATTTAATATGTCAACAGAGGCCGAGCTCCAGCCTGCTGCCAGACCCAGCGTCAGAAAGGATTCCAAGAAGAGAGGTATGAGCCCGCATACAGACACATGTGTAAACAGACAAACACTCTCACGCCCGGGGGTTTGTTCAGTGTGCGGGGGTCAGCTTTAAAATCACAGGCGTACTGTGCAGATACTACACACACACACACACACACACAAATATAAACCCACAGTGCCATATGGCTGGAAAATAGAACTGAAGTCTTGTTATTTGTAACATTTGAACAGAACTGAATTAATTCATATTTATATTCATATTTTTTATTTATCTTGTGTTTAAATGGAGTTGAGGACTCAGTTATGGGATTGATTGATTGATTGATTGATTGATAATAAATTAATGCATTTGAATGAACCCATCCATTTATAAGTATTTGTTTATTTGTTTGTTTATTTACTGGATGAGTTGGAGTCAGTGTTAATTTAGTATCATTGAGATACTATTGTAGTTTTTATTAATATTTTGAATTAGTTTTTATTTTTTGTCTTTCATTTTCATTATAATTTTAGTCAGTGGAATTTTTATTAGTTTGAGATTTTTTTTTTTATGTTTATTTTTATTTTTAATTTCAGTTTTTAGTTTTAGTTTCTGTTATTTTAGTACATCAAGCTAAACTAAATAAACATGAGAAATGTTGCAACTCACTGAAATAAAATAGTTTTATTTTATTTCCGTTAAAGTGTATTTTATTTCAAGTAATGTTTTTATTTTTTTTATTTTTAGTTAACTATGATACATCTGGTTGGAGTAAAAACGACAGGCGGCATTAAGTCATGTTGGTTTACAAAGAGTCTAATCTATTGTACACAACACTATCATTCTTTAACTTGGGATGACTGTATTTCCATAAAAGTTGTAAAGTGAGTGGGATAGATGATATTTATAGATTTTCTTTATGTATATGTCGTTATATGCCCACTGCTTTGTATTTTTATGCTCAGAATGGTCATTTACCATATTTTCCCTGTCAGCACCCTCATCTTTGCTGTGGTTCACACTCCTAACGGGTACTCGGACAGATGTTTGGTGTGGGACCAGTGCCAAGGGGCCTGTCGGTCATTGTACGGCACAGCATAGAGGAGACAGACTGTTGCCCCTCTTGTTATAATGAGTCTTGTTGCACTGCCCTCTTGTGATGCACCACCTGTTCCTTAGTGGCCACACAATGGCGTTTTGTGCCAGGCTATGAGCCCATGAGACCTCAGCGGCACAGCTGAGGGGCGTAGTGACACCAGATGTCCCACAGTGCTGGGAAATGGAGATCATACAGCGAGAGCGAGTGTCTGTATCTGACTTCTACATATCATTTTATGTCTATGAACAAGTCTACGAACTTTATGGACATTCCATGAAAATATTATAAAAGTTTTTATTACTCATGTTTCTTAGGGGGTGTCATAATATGTGACATTGCATTCAGAAACAACTAGACGGAGCACAACAGTATGGACCAGAATTTATTTATTTCTCTATTTGATCGTGCAAATAAATGTAAACATTCACAAAACATGTTATATTATATATATTTTTATTTTATAAATATGTGAATGTGAAAATAGTTTAAAACATTCACAAAGCCTGTTATAGTATATACATATTTATTTTTTTATTTTTTATTCATCTTCAAGAATCGGATAAAAACTCGGAAAAAAACTCGGAAAAAAAAAATCTCTTCCATACGGTGGCCGAGAAGTGCAAAGCAAATCACAATTCTGAAAACAAAATAACAAATTACAAACGCAAATGCAAGTCTACAAAACAAAATAACAATTCAGAAAGCACAACAACAATTCAGAAAACATTATAACAAGTCAGAAAACACAA